AGTTAATTGGTGAGGTTAGTTATTATTATTTTTTTTTTTTTGAGGAAAATAAAGCTATTAATTCATCAAATTGGCAATCAGTACACTTGAGAGAAAGGAAGGCGGAAAATAAGACCATTCAACTATAGCATGTAATGAGCTAGCGGTCTTGGCTAGTGTGTGGGCTACTTGGTTAGCCGATCTTCTAACCCATCTGAACTTGAGGTTTGAAAATTCTCTAGCAAGGAGGCGGCACTCTTCAATAAGAATACCAAAATAAGAATTTTCATCCCCATCACTCTGTAGAGCGTTATAAACCAGGAGAGCATCCATCTCGATGGTTTGGACCTCGAGAAATTTATTTTTAATCCAAGAAAGAGCCTTGCGAATCCCCAAAGTTTCGGCTAGAAGTGGATCAATAATACTACGTACTGTAACAACTCTGGCAGCAACAAAGGAACCCTAATCATTACGAATCACAAAGCCCAGCCTGGCCTTCCCTTGGTCTTCAAAAATGGATGCATCAATATTTAATTTAAGGGAACTCCTAGTAGGTGGTTTCCACTTAACAAGCTCTGCACTGCTGGAGCTGATTGCAAGTTTTGAAGGTGGCTGATTAGCATCGCGCCAAAGCTGGAGGAAAATGTTTGCAATAGTCACTACCTTAAGCACTGTACATGACTTAGCATTCCAAACAGTTTCATTTCGGTTCAACCAAATGGCCCAACAAAGCATCACGATAATCTCTTGATCTTGTTGGTGGTTCTTTAAGGTAGCTGTGTTCTAGTCTTTGAAATTTGCAGCAAGGTGGGTGAATTTACTACTCCCACTACCTCCCAAACCTTTTGGGCAAATTCACAAGAGACAAAAGCATGGAGAACTGATTCATCGTGTATAGAGCAAACTGGACAATGATTGTCAACTTCGACTTTTCGAGCCCTTAGTTGATCAACTGTTGGGAGAACATTTAATGATGCTCTCCAAATTAAATTTCGAACCTTTGCCGGAATTTTAAATCTCCAAAGTTTTGTCCAAAAACTCTCAATGGTAGAATAAGAGTGTATGAAAGAGTCCGCCATCAATGACTTATATCCACTTCTGATCGAGTAAACACCCTTCTTGTCATGAATCCAGTACATTTGATCTTCCCTCCCATGAACTGTTAGGGGAATTTTCATGATTTGCCCACGGTCTTCCTCACTAAAAAGATCAGCAAGAAGATCGTAGTCCCAACTATTCTCCCCTGGCAAAATAAGCTGATCAACAGTGGTATCTTCTCTTCCCGAACTTGGTTCTAAAGTAATAAAACCTTGGCTGGGGCTAGGAAGCCAAGGGTCATGCCAGATTCTAATGGAAGAACCATTACCCACACGGAATCTACAACCATCTTTCAAGACAGGTTTAGCAGCAAGTATACTGCGCCATATATAACTTGGCATGTAGCCAATGTTAGCTTCCAAGAATGATGAAGTAGGAAAATAGTGTTCACGAAAATATGTTTCGGATTTAAATCACCGCAAGTGCACGGTTCGTTGACAAGTAATAAAGTGGAAATTTAAGAATTTTGAGTATCGTTCCCACGAGGATTGATTTAACTTGATTTTTATTATCGTGACCTTAATCGAATCTATTAAACTCAAGATAGTTGATGATTTGAATTTTATAATTAAACTATGACTAAAATGCAATTTAAACTAAGGT